ACTCTTCAACTCACTGTATCATCACATAAGATTCACTTTGAATGCATTCATAGTGTTGATTTATTTTTTCAATGAGTCAAGCGTGATACAGTTGCAGTAAATCTATCAGTGTTGTTTTGAAATGGCCTCTGATTCTCATCTTTCAAAGTGCGCCCTCAGCAAAAATAGCCCAGCAGACTGTTAGTCAGACGCACAAATAGACACACCAGGCTTCTCATCATCAGTGAGCCCAACTCGCTGCCTGCCTCCGTGTTGTTGAAGTGGAAAAAAGCTCACGTTGGTCCTGAGGGATGGAGGTGTGAAACAGATAAGCGGTCTCAAGTCTTGGTTCATTATTAGCACAAAATTAGGAAGAAAAAGAGAGTTGCTCTTCAAGCGCAGTGACCCGCCCGGCAACATCAGGCAGCTTAACTCCTCGTCATCCCGACATGCTCCTCACGCTGACATTCCCCAGGCATCACACCTCTATTTTGGACTGAACGCAAACATCCTCTATGGAAAAATGAGCACAGGCGGATGTTTGCGTTCACCTTTCTAGTAAATAATTGTTCATTTAACACGTTCCTAAAAGTGAGACTGCTTTTTATGAGGAGTTTATCCAAGATGCACTGGAGCTGTGGGGGAAAATAAATCCCCCCAAAATTCAATCATCAGCTCTGGTTTTATTCCCACGAGTACTGCTTCTACTGTCACTGTTGATTTGAGCATTTCAGGAAATAATTTTTCCAGGAAAAGCAGAAATATTTGTGGGTGTGGTTAAGGATGTAGAGCAGGTCATCCACTAATTGGAAAGTTTGTAGTTTGATCCCTGGCTGCTGCAGCCTGGACAAGATGCTGAACCCCGAATTGCTCCCAGTGCATTCACTGGAGTGTGAATGTTAGAAAAAAGCTGCTTGTATGAATGTGTGTGAATGAGATAAAAGTGCTTTAACCTCCTAGGACCTGGCGTCCACATATGAAGACATCACATTTTGGGTTATTTAGACCAAAATACTCCATTTTGCTCTACAAAGGCCTGAAATCCACTCACGAGGACATTATACTGCTACTGTTCTATCAGAATTTTAAACAAATATCCTCATGTGTGGCTCCTATTTTTCATAAAAACTCAAATAATGTAAAAAAACAAAATCTGGTAATTCTTTGTTTTTACATTCATTGGGCCCCAATGTGACCAAATATCAAAGAGAAATAAAAATGCATGCCGTGGAAGAGTTCGGGTCTTAGGAGGTTAAGAAAAGTCCTTTGTATAAGAACCGGTCCATTACCTGGTGAGCATGTTCACATCTGCATGAGAAGAAGAGATTCCCTATGGTTCTTAGCATTCCTGGGATATTACGGCCTTTTTAGTTCTGAATGTCAGCGAGCTGACCGTGTTTGCGCCGCTTTTGGCATTTTACAGAACAATAATCTTGAACGAGCTCTCGACTGGATCTTCACCCACCCGGAGGAGGAGGAGGAGAGTGATGCCCTTTCAGACATGGCTGACACAGAGCCCAATGACAACGCCTTCTCCAACGCCAACTCGCACAGCGACTCCACGCTGTCCCCAGACGGAGACGCGTCGGGCCCCAGAGTCAAAGACGGACCGGGACGTGAGTGACTCTGCACGACCGCCGCTCCGACAGAAACATACTGCTTCTCTGCCCTTGAATTTAATCTCGACATTGTGAGCGTCCACGGGCCATTTTAGCCCCAGTCAGGTCTGATTATGACGCGTGCTGTACCCAGGTGCTGCTGGGCACTGGATTTCAAGGTGTAGCAGCATCAAAAAACAATTTAAATTCCTTCATTTTATCCCCACGTGCTAAATACATCACCTGTTTTTAAGTTAAAACTGAAAATGAGCACTTTATTAGATAATTATCACTTTAATTGTTTTTCTGTAAATATGCGTTAGTTTGTCACTCACTGACTTTGTTCTTCTTCTTTTTCTAAGGATATGAGCTCTTCGCCTTCATCAGTCACATGGGAGCGTCCACGATGTCTGGACATTATGTTTGTCACATCAAAAAGGAGGGACGGTGAGCGGCACGCAGTGTTTCATGTTACAGAGCTGACGACCTGTCACAGAAACATCTCTGATGTCTCATCTCGTTGCATTAACTGTGTACAGATTTATTATTGTTTTTAGTTCTACGATAGTTCACCAGTCTGGCTGCGTGCTGCTGGATCATAACTGAGCCTGTTTCCTCTTTACACTGAGTAGAAAAAGAATAATGAACCCATTAAATCTTTTCATTCAAATTTGAGAAAAATGACACTTTAAAAGCATTTGTGTGAATTTAATGTGCACTTCTCCCGCCTGCAGGTGGGTGATCTACAACGACCACAAAGTGTGTTTGTCAGAAAGACCTCCAAAGGACTTGGGCTACGTCTACTTTTACCATCGACTGTCGAGCAGTTAGACCGCTGCTCGCTGCGCCGTGTCCTTTAAATAACCACAGACCCAGAAGACTGGCAGACAACTGTGACGTCTCAGTGGGAACGATGGGATAACCTCTCCGACCAGCTGCTTGCCTTATTGTGATGTCATTCTGGAGCAACCAGGAACTCTGGTCAGAAGGGAAAGCGATGTGCTTTTTGTGTATTAGTGTTATGCTTTAAATATCAGTGTTTGTGTTCAAAGAAAGAACATGTCTTGACAGTGTTGGTACAGAGGGATCTGTGCAATTTCTACGATTGTGCTCTTTACACGAAACAACGCCACATATCAACTCTCAGTCTTTCTCCTCTTCTCTGCCTTCAGTCACTGTGCCGTTTTTTCTTTTTTCCCAAAGTGGTGCATTTTATAAATGTGTACTTAAGTGCAGTGCTTCACTGCCAGCCCTGCTCTGAAACTGCAACAACAAACAAGAAGCTCCTGTGCTGCAGGGGGCTTTGCATTGAATGTTTTGAGAAACTGGAAAGAGAAGAGGAGCGCGATGCTCCTTCCACAGTGCAATCCCAAGTGCTTCATGTAAAACATTACAAATATGAAGCGGAGCAAAATTCACTAAGAATGAAAAGGTTTTGGTTTTCCACACATGGAAGTCACCACGTGAGTTTCAGAGTGATGAATGGGCATTAACTCGATTCGTCCCGGTTATGCTCGAGGCCGACGTGTACGTTTGTCACATTTAATGAAAAACCTTCAACGCCCTGATGCGCCGGCTGTCAGGATGTTAGTGTCATTTCTGTCCCTGTTGCACTTTTTTGACTTTTTCCTGTACCTGCACTGTACTTGCCAGTCACAAACTACCAGGACTCATGTCTGAAGTGCAGCACTGCCAAGGAGATTATATTCATTTGATTCGATCTAATTAAGGCCAGCCTGGCTGTCCAGTCGTCCCTGTTCAGGGAGGTTGCATAGTAACGTAGGTGAACCTTTTGTGTACATAATTTTTGCTCAAAGTGCAAAATATCTGCAAACTCGACATAACTGTTACTGGGCTGCACCTGGCTCCCGCTGGTTCTTTTATCACTCTGACAGATTCGGACTGTAGCCCAGAAGCTAAAACGATTGTTTCAGGCCATGTAAGTTTGAATGTTTTTGTCTAGAGCAATATGCACTAATAACCAAATCTGCTGTTGAACAGCTGTATGAGAACAGCTGTACAGTGACCATACCTCCTCTGAATGTATACACTCGTGGTGCTCGCTGCAAACAAAACACTCAGACATGACTGTGATGCTACAGCGGGCCACTCTTTAGGGCCTGGAGCTGGTCTAGCCTCCAGCTCTCTGCTTTATCTGCTCAGTAATATTCATAATGTGCAGGATGGATTAAACACTGTGCTCTTGACTGTCAGTATCTCCATACTTGGCTTCATATCTTTATTTTTATTCACGTTTTATTCATCTCGGAGAGCGCGGTCTGCTTCCGGTAGCATATTTGAAGGTGGAGTTCTGCTCAAATTAATCGTAATTTATCAAACGTTGAATTACAGTTAATTATTTTAGGCTCTCGTACTCAAAGGGAAGACGTGCTGTTGACAAAGAGAGTAGAAAAGAAAAGCAGAACAGCACCACGATGGTTTCTACGGGCGTTTTTCATTGACACAGACAAAAAACTCTAATGTAATTTATATAATAAATCCATATGACTCCCCTTTAACAACACTGTGCCTCGATTTCCCTGAGCAAATCTTAGCCTCTTACCAGAGAAACTGTTTGTCTATGCATTGGGGAATACTAAACATCTCTATGCAAGTCTTGTGTTTGTGCCTCTCGTCGTCGCTGAGTGAGTGACAAGCTTTTGCCTAATGATGGGTAGCTGTCTCTGCTCCTCTCGTGGTCCCAGCTCGTTGCCGTCTTTCTGTCCTCGTCTTTCAGCTTTCTCTCCAGCTCCGTCGCTTCCATTCTTCTCTACCTTGTTTAAAACGTAATGGTTCATTTTGTCATATAAAAAAGGTTTTTTCCACTGTCAGCATGTTAACTAGAGATGGACATTTAGTCGTCTGGGTTGTACCGTTGTACTCTTGTGAGCTTCATTCTCTTTTTCTCTCCATTTAACTAAATGTCAAAAAGCTTCTTGACCTGTTTCTAATCTTTCTGCCTTTTTTGTGTCAGTTCTGTAGTTTTCATTTCAGAGCTCTCCTTGAACTGATTATTTTAAGCTGACTTTTGTAATGTATCCAAATATGGCTTAGGTGTATGTGAACAGAGTCATGGCAGTCCAGTGTACCAGTGGCACTGTTTACTTATGATGTTTGGATCATTTAATAAACGACATGTTTGTTGAGACCTGGCTTCATCGTGTCGGGCAGGAGTCGGCACAATAAAGACACGGGAGTGTCGAATATATAACAACACTTTATTTTAAAAGATTACTTTCATGTTGTACGTTCCAAAGGTGCTAATGCTGTCCTCGTGATTATACAGGGAGAGTAATATGCATTATAGTAGGTGTTTCAATAAACGAGTGGCTGTATACAAATTACATTATTTCTAATTTCATCCCTCAAAATATATTATTCATATACGTGTGACGCAAATAAATGAGAACAAAGTGCACGTTCTGAACCGGAGCAGTGGAGGAAGTACATATGCAACAGCAACCTCAATGAGCCCAACCAGTGAAGCCATCACGGATGCTTTATGGATTTTCTGTACCCTAAGCACCAATTCCCACATTTTAAAAGCACAAATCTTTTAGAGATAATAAAAGTGGACAAAGCCAAATAAAAAGTGTCTTATTGATACACAAAAACAAAGTTATTCCAGTGAAATGAAGAATAATGCCCCTCCTTTGGAGTCTTTTTATTCTGTTTTGACCTTTTTTTTTTCAGTATCATTGTTTCATTAGAACGAAGAATTATTTGTGTGTCTGGGTATTTATTCGTTTTTTCAGTTAATAGAAACATGCCGGAGCCAAAGATGTGATTGCCTCATTAGGATCGTTAACTGGACAGTTCATTAGGTACACCTTGCTAGTACCCCTGCACACATTTTTAATAAATTCAATATGTAATTAAATCTTATTTTATCCAAGAAGCTGAATGGAAACATTTATCAGCGTGGTCATTATCAGGTAGGCTGCTGTGTTTAAATGATGCTCATTTTCATACCAAGGAGACCAAAATGACCCACTGACACAGGCAGCCATGTTTTCATGCTTATGCCAAATTCTGACCGAGCCATCCGAATGTCAGGAGAAGCCAAGGAGCATCAGACCAGACGTGTTTCGAATCTTCAGTTTTGATGGTCCGTGTGATCCGTTTCCTGTTCTTAGCTGACAGCAGTGGTTACATGTTCACAGATGCTCTTCTACATCTGCTGCTCCTGGTTTCAGACTACTCTGTGTAAACTATAGAGATCCAGAAGTCAACAGTCTCTAAAGTAGTCACGCTAGTCCTTCTGGTACCAACAACCACATTCAGAATCACATCTGCACTGCGTGACTGCCACACGATCTGCATCTATGCAGCTAAACAGGTGTACCTAACACAGCAGTCAGTGAGCGATTGTATTTGGTCTGTTTTCACTCCATAAAACTGCGTAACTCTCACCTTTGAACACTTTAGGTCTCCACAATAGAAGACACGGTGAGCAAGTCTGTGTAAAAGTTGTGAATTTGAACTGTTGTATGACTGTCCACTTTTACTCTCCCTCTTTCTTAAGTGTAAACAGAACTAATGAAGTGATTCTTGCAAACATTAAAACCTTATAAAAACAGCTGTTAAAGGGTCACAGCAGGTTGTGAAAGTCTACATAAAAACTTTTCAGCACTAAAGAGTTGTGCAATAACAGCTAGACAGCTTTATAGGTTGGGGTCATTGCAGTGGTTACAAACGTGTTTGTAATTTGTAGAAGTAATAAATATAACATTTGTGCATAACTATGATTATCCAGTTCATTAGCCAGTATTCAAGCTGAAGTGTGTTTGCAGTGTGCTGTGCCTTAGACTCGTTATTTTGAGCCTCTCACACTTCCATGCAAGAAAAAGCATCTTGTGTAGAATACATACTGTTTATATACATCATGTTTTGTCAAAGTTTGCGAACTTAAAAGTGCATTATAGCGATATTGCAAGGAAACCTCATGATATATTTACTTTTCTTGGGGTCGAAAGAGAAAGCACTTCCATGTATGTCATGCATACGAATGAAAACGTCATTAAAAAAGTAGAAATGTAAAGGATCTAACATGCAAACAGCCTCAGTTTGTTGCACAGGTGCATGCGTTAGGCTAGGTCAGTTCACCTGAGAAGGTACAGTAGTAGGTTCAGCAAAATAAAGAAAACTGCATCCTATCTCAATGCACTATGGAATGATGTGGACGGCAGAAGAAGGTTGTGGCCCAGCAATGTAAGATTTCTTTAAAAAACATGAACCTGTGGTAACCTGTAACGAAATGGAAAAGAGCGAGGGCCTGCGACCTCATAAGACAACTAGAGTTGATTTTGTAAAACACCTGGGAGCACCTGGGAGGACAGGCATGCCAGGAAAAATGTGGAACAGCTCCTGGCCTGCAGAACCTCTCGCTGATAGGGACCTCCTACAGGGTTGAGTTAACGCTTTAGCAAAGAAAACTGGAGGGGGATCGTCGTGCACTGGACTACCACGCTAGCTGCTCTGTGAGCCTAAAAGTGGAGCTTTGAGCGAAATGCAGCACTCACTCTGACAATGCTAACATACTGATAATATCTCCTGTGTTCAATAAGGAGAGATCAAGAACTGAACATGATTTGTTGAGACAAAGAAATGAATGTATTTGGCGATCAGACTCTGGTGACCCATCTTACCTGTCCCAGCAGGAATAGGATTTAGGACAGGACCCCCTGGAGTCTAGACGCTGGTGGTGGTGAACATGAAAATAGAGATGGGGACGAGGTGGGTTGTGCAAATGACAGTCTGAAAGGGAGAGCAATGAAGAGCACAGATTTAAACCAGAGTGGAAGCTAATTGGCTCAAAGAAGGCAGGCAAGAAGGTGATTGAACGAGAGTATTATGACTGGGTGTGAAAGTGTGGCAATGATCTAAAGAACAGAACAGCGGCTGAACAAGAAAGCAGGCAGGTGAGGGATTGCAGAGCTTCCATATCGAATTTAACCACAAGCTTTATTATATTAAAACGCTGACAGCCAAATGGCTCTAAAGGTAGCTCGATGCAGGTTCATGGCGCCGTCGCAAACTTTACAGTTATTTGGGCTAAACCCATTCTGCCGGCCGAGTGACACTTTTGTTTTTGGGAGACGTGCTGGAAGCAAATTTCACGCCACCCCTTTCAGTCTGGGCCAAACTGGCAGACAGACCCTCGCTGGCATGTATGGAGCTACAAGTATGCTTAAATTTGACTTCCACAGTAATTTAATGCTAATCAAACAGAAATCAAACATGAACTCCTGGATGTAAACCTGATTTGTTCCAGCGAAGGATACCTTTTATCATCGTCCAGTCTCCCACCGTGAAAACATTTGTGCATGCACCCCTGCTTTGGCCTCGTTGCCAAAGTCGCTGTTAGCTCCCCTCTGAGGCCGACTGTTAGAGGCATGCACATATGTGCTGTGTATCTCTGACTTCTCGTCTAATGTTTGATCTATTTATCCTGGTTGTGTGATAAATAGAGTCTGTGCCAATATTTTTTTAAGTATCTGGCAAGTAGAGCAGCTGATCTTTTTTCATCAGTGGCGGTGAATTTGATGGATGCAACTAAGGTCAAAGACGCCATGTCCGTGCAACCTGATTCTAAAAGCAGAAGGCTGCACTCTTTGTGTCGATCAGTCTTTCTTTTAGTCAGAGCTTCTGACCACTTTCTCCCTGGGAGAACACTTGTTTTCATTCTGGCAACTTCCCGATGAAACACTTCTTCTTGTACAGACCGTGACACCCCGGCTGTACAGTTTGGAAGATGAATGGCTCTCACACTGGTCTCTGGTTCTGCCTGATAGTGTTCTTTCCAAACACCGAAACGACGCTTCCTTTCGGTCTGCCGAGGCAGACGGGGACCCGCAACAATTCAGAATGGCAACATAAAACATGACCTTTTGCATAGGAGCTACAATAAAAACCCTCAGACCGTGGACACGCCTGATAAACACCCGAATGTGCTGAGCTATGCAGTACAGAAGATTATCTATCATTTACTCTGTTGCACAGCGAGGTACAGGGTATTCACTTCAGAGAGTGACTTTCAAACTAGCAGCAGTGATGCAAGTGAAGCTGTCAGCTAAAAAGTATGTCTAAGGAAAAGCTTTCGTCCTGCAGCAGGAGAGTCACTGTATTTACACAATCATGTTTTCTGCAGATGCATAACCATCTCGAGTTTGAACATCAACCTGATGTGATTTGAAGTGTGTGGTGAAACGAACAGCGTTCATCATACATGTGCAGCATTCTGCCCAAGCTTACGTAAATATTCAAATCATGCATTATGACTATTAAATGCATGAGCCTTGCTGTCTTTGGAGGAGCAGCAAAGACACCAGTGACGGCGTCAGCAGATACTGACAACAGAAAACAAACTGAGTCAGGTCAGCAAAAATAAAAAAGGACTGAATAATGTGTACAGTAGTCATTAGTAACTCTGAAGCCATCCCAGAACTAGCAGAAGAAGATAAAAAGAGATATTTTTAGACTTGTTAAGAATAACGTTTTCATATGCTAAAGTTTGAAAAGACTAATGAAGGTTTTATAGATTGCTGTTGCCCAGCTTTTCTGTGTTTCTGCAGTCAGCTTAAAGGGAACAAAGAGGAGCTAGGAGCCAAAAGAAAGGAGAGAAAAACCGAGCGAAACAAAAATTAGTGGCTCAGAAAGCTTTCAAGTTCAAAAGACAGCAGTTATTTAAGAAAATGAAACTAGTCTGAAAATGGCTTAGTGTGGGTTTTTTCTGTTTTCATAAAAATAGTATAAATAAATATTGTTGGTCGCATGCTTTTGAGTAAGGCTTGCACATTCCACTCGGACTGAGGAAGTTATATCTGTTTATCTGATGTGCAAAGGGAAAACCTCTAAAAGTATGTTAATTTGAAACAAGAATCCAGTTATGAAAATGCTTATTCGTGCAGTATCATTATTTTCCCATTGAAAGGATGAAAATAAGCCAGGAACAGAGCCTGGAGTTCCAGGTTATACGCTGCAGTCTTTGTCATTTGCTCACTAAATCCATCCTTCAGGAGTCAAATGTTTTTTCCTCTCTTTTCTTTGAAAACGGCCTGTGAGGTCTGCTCTATCAGGCTCGTACAACCGTCCGTCTCTGCCGGCTCTGTTCCGCTGGATGAGTCAGTTTTTAATTGATGTGTCCTCTAAGGCATTGCTCGTACAATCTTTGCCCGTCCTTGTGCTCTTCAGGGAAATCACAAATTACAGTGCAAATCCAACACAGAGCAGTCCCTTCAAACCCTTGGAAGAACCTGTCCCCAGAACTGCTCCGAGGTACTTGGGTGAAAAATATAATAGCTTTGACGACTGTAGTTAATTTGGACGTGCATAAAAATACACTGTTGTCTCTGACGTCCATCAGTCCATTCTGACTGTGCACTTTGGACTTTTGGCTGTTGGGTAGAAATCAGATAGTAAGTGAAGAGGGGGCAGATGTTAGCATTACTGCCTCCTGGTCGTCAAATGTCTAAGTTGAAGGCCCGCATGAGATGATCCAAGTCGCCGATATTTGCAGCCTGGAAGAGTTCAGGCTGGTCCATCATGGATAAAGCTATCCTCAAAGCCGCCCAGATGTTTCCAGACATCACCTGGTGGGACTGCTGGCGACTCCGGCTTTTCCTCTGAAGGCTTAAGGCAGTCAGGAAGTTGCTGGCCGCCTCTCTGGGGATGAAGGAATAAAAGCAAGTCATTGCATCACAAAATTCCATCAGCTGGTCTCCTCAGTTCTGAGACACGTACAGACTGTTGTTAAAAGAAGAGGCGATACTACACAGTGGTAAAGATGACCCTGAGAAATGTTGCTGCCATCAAACAGGAAGAAACCTTGGACAAATCCAGGCTCAGGGAGAGGCCCGCCCAGTCGGTTGGGGTGAGGGGAGGAAGACGAGACCAACTTATTTTGCACAACAAGAATATTAACAAAAAGGCCAAAACATAACAAACCTTACTGCACTTGATCACTCTGCGAGACGTCTCAAGCAGATGTCTCACCTGCCAAACTAACAGGACCTGTGTGGTTGCATTAAGGCAACTGTGCAGACATTTAAAGCTACCTCAACGTCAAGGCATTTCTTGCGTTTTAGTGGTAAGGTTTAGAAAACTTACTCATTTGAACTAGAGTAAATTTAGATGAAGTCCTGTTGTTTCTATGACTATTTCTATGCTTTTATTTTGTTAGTGTCTATGCTATTTATTTACTTCGGCCACTGACAGCTGTCTAGTGTTGGTCAAGTTACTTGAAAAAAGTAATCAGTAACTAATTACTGATTACTTTCCCCCAAAAGTAATCACATTACTTTACTGATTACTTATTTTCAAAAGTAACTAATTACTCAGTTACTTAGTTACTTTTTAAAAACACGATTTACAACCTGAATAGGTGATAAAGCGATAGATCTTTCAGCCCAATTCTACTTTTTCTGCATAATCCATCATACAAAATGTAATCAGATGGAAAAGTCTCTTTTTAAAACTTGTTTTATTAGTTTTAATCTTTTAACTTTATGCATCAAGCAAAAATGTAATTATCTGCAACATTCTCTGACTGGAAGAAATTAGTTTAACATTTAAACCTATTTTCTGCACATTCCACACAAAATAAAGTATTTTTTGTGTTTACACTCAGTCTTTCAAAGTAAAACACAGCAGAAAATAAATAAAGTCAAAGACTCAGCGGTCCTGTTGCTCTATTTTCACCTGTAAAGCAGGAGTGGGGTAGGCGGAGGTTTACCCTGGTGCAGGTGTGCCGCGGTCAGTGGAAGAATCCGCGAGTTTCTCTGTGAGGTTCCCATTACGTCGTAGCTACTCGCTGCTTGTTGGAAGTTTAGGGGTTTATTCGCTGTAAAAAGAAGTTTTCTTCCCACGCACAGCGGACACTAATGTTTTTGTCACTTTTTATGGAATCAAACTCAAAGTAAGGTCAGTACTTCCATGCTTTAAACGCTGCACGCTCATACTCTCTCTGCACTCGATATGTGATCCATTGTTGATCTGCACACAGCTGTTGTCACGAACGTCGCTGTCATGAGACATTCTCGCAAAAAAATCTGGGTTTCAGTAACGCAGTAACGCAGCGTTTCATACGGGAAAGTAACTGTAATCTAATTACCGTTTTTGCAATAGTAATAGTAATAGTAATTTGCAATAGTAATCCCTTACTTACTCATCATGTAACGCGTTACTGCCCATCTCTGAGTGTAACTGGCTGAGTTTGGATATGTCTTGATGTCTGCTCATGTCAGATTTCTGGTTGTGTGCTGCTGCTTGTATTTCTACGCTGATAGTAGCTTCAATCTGAATATTTTCTGTTTGTGGATAAGCATTTGCCTTTTGGGTGTTGTCTGGCAGGTACATATTAAAACTCATATGAATGCATATGATTGGTATCATGAGCAGAATTGATATGTGCAGACAGTATTCCACTCACCACACGAGATAAATGATTCATAAGAAGAGATCTTGTGCACCAAGTCACACATTTTGCAATTTAGATTCGAGCTGCAATAATAAATCTATCAACAGGAAATTAATCAGCCACATTTTGATTTTTGAGCCAATATCGTCTGCAGACTTCTCAGTGTGAAGATGTCATGTTTTTATTTGGCATTTATGAAAACTCACATATTAACTCTGTGCATTGTCTTACTTCAACTGCTGCCCTTTCTGACCTACACTTTGGCTGTTATGCTTATTAATTCTACTCCACTGCATTACGCAAAAAGAATAGAAATGCTATCCCACTCACAGATCACTCACCTGTGTGCCCCCAGGTTAATACAGCTGATGCCCAGGTTGTAGCGGGACCGGATAAACCCCGGCTGCAGCTCCAGGGCTCTTGTGTAAGCCTCCACCGCCTCCTCGCTTCGATCTCCATTCGCCAGCGTGGCCCCGAGGCGGTTCCACAACAAGTAGTCCTGCACAAGAGTGCGAGTCATCGGTTGATTGAGGAATAGGAAATGTCAGGTAGTGAAGGTTTGGTACAGCTCAGTGTGGTGTTAGATGCTGCCAGCCTAAATAACCCACATACTCAAGACTTGCATTCAGTCATTTAGTGCAATTTAAAACTCATCAGCGACATCGCTTCAATTATTATTTAATTATTCAAGGCTTAAACGCTGTCCACCTTTGAAGGACCTAAAAATCAGCTTGCAGTGTCTTTAATACAATAGATGGACTAATTAGGACTTGGATAATCTGGGCTGCTGCGCATCACATGGCCTTCCATCTGCAGTGACAGTGTGACAAAGCAGTATTTCTTTAGAGACCTAAATAACAAGGGGCTGTTTTGGAGCATTGTAACATCTCCCCTGGTTAAAAGTAACTCAAGAAGGGTAATTTAAGGATAGCTGAGTTATATCACAAAGGATGTCCTTGCTGTTGTTTCCCACCTGCAGGTAGACAGGCACATACAGAGGTCATGGTCTGTTACAGGGATCCTTCATCTCTGGCTAAGCCCAGCACTGGGGTATAATTATCTCCCTTTGTGTTCAGAGCTATTTTTCCAGCAGGGGACCTGATATTACCAAGTCAAATGCGGGAGGCTGGATTTAACAGTGAGTAATATTCATGCCGGCCTGGGACAGTGCTGGGAGGATGGAGCTCATTTGCATACAGAGAAATGGTAGAAAAGTTCTTGGTTGTATTTGCGTGCGTGTCCATTTTATCTGTCGCATGCCTGTGTGTTCTAGTGGAGTGAATATGCATGCATCTGAGATTATTTTTAGCTCTCTGCGTAATTATGTGTGTTTTTGTGTATGTGTGTGCGGATTGCGTCTTGCTCAACCGTTGTGCTGGATCACAAGCGAGAGCATATGTGTGCCAGTCAGGAGTTCACCAGGCCAGATTTGGCAGCGCGACAGTTCGCATATTGCTGTGACAGTTTGCTGTGCCTCACTGCATCTGTTTGCACAAGCTCTCCCTTGATATCGTGGTCATCCTCGCTATGCTTTGGGGCTTCGTGTCTGCTGCGTGTGTTTGGAAGTCTGGCTCTTACAGTATGTACAGTATTAGAAAGCACAGCACACGCTCACAGGAAACATTCCTGAAGGGTTCACATCAGCACGATAATAACACACACACACAACCAACACACACAGCTGCTGCAGATTTATCTGCGTTCCACCACATCCCAGAGATGCTCTGCTGGACTGGGATCTGGTGACTGTGGTGGCCGTACAGAGACTTCAGTGTCATGTTCAAGAAACCAGTTTGATCTGATCCATGGGATGTAGTGTGCTATTCTGCTGTCAGCAGAGGGATGGACACGTTCAGCAACAATACTCAGGTCGGCTGTGGTGTTTAAATACTGACCGGTCGGTACTAAGAGGCCCAAAGTGCGCTAGATCAGCGGTCCCCAACCCCCGGGCCACGGACCGCTCGTTTGATACCGGGCTGCGAGGCTTGAGGTTTCAGTTTTCAGTTCCCTGGGTCTTTCCCGTGTTGAAGTTGTGCGTCTTATTTTGAAAGAAACGTTTACGCGTTACCATAGTAACAGAGGGGGATGTTACTCTCACTGTTGTTCAGGGGGACGCTGCTAATAAAGTTACACAATTACACAGTGAATTCGCTTTTATTATTATATTTACAAAGCGCCACAGTTTTTGTCTCGGTTGTATCATTTTATTTTGTTGTATTTATCCGCCACACCTTAAAGGTTGGCCCGTGAAAATATGGTCCGACATTAAACTGGTCCGTGGCGCACAAAAGGGGCTGCTTCTCCAGATACTGTACCCAGCACCACTCTAACACCAACAGCCTGAACTATTGATGCGAAGCCGGATGAAGCGATTGTTGCTGCAGAATATGAGACTCATTGAATCAAGCAACATTTTTCCAGTCTTGTATTATCCATGTAAACTGTAGCCTCAGTTTCCTGTTAAGCAGGCGGGGCAGACAGTGTGGTCTTCTGCTGCTGCACTGTGCACTCAGAGATGCTCTTTTTATACACTGCCTGTAATAACTGGTTATTTTTTTGGCATTTGCCTTTATTTGATTACAATAATGGAACTAGACAGGAAAGCAGAGAAAGACAGGGAAGACATGCATGAAAGGGCCATACGATTGCCTGCTCACCCACTGTGGTAACTGGTGCCATATTTGAGTTACTGTTGGCTTCCTATCAGCTGGAAGCAATTTTTGACTGACCACTGACACCAAGGAAGGATTTTCACCAAGTTTCTCTTTTTTTGAATCATTCTTTCTAAACCTGAGAGATGATGATTGTGTGTGAAAGCAGATCAGCAGTTTCTGAAACACTAAGACCACTAAGTCTAAAGTCTAAGTCTAAGTCTAAATTACATACCTTATCAATAAAGTAAAACGTAAGCCAAAAAGAAAGAGCAGCTCACTAGCTGCAAACACAACAAGCACTCAGCTCACAAGCTGTAACCACACTACTGGCACTCTGGCCCAGAGCTCACCTTTCCCTGGGCTTAAATCTCCTTGATTACTGACGCGAGTCAGCTGTGTAAAAGGGAAAGGTGGCACCTCAGGCAGAAGAGGTGGTGGGACACGCCCACACAGGCATCTTCAGGAGGAGGCCCTGCTAGGGCCGTAACACCACGACAACAGAAAACCCACTGTTGTGCTGTAACATGGATGTAATATGTGAGCAACCGATCCACTGTTGTATGAAAGCTGTTGACATTGGTGCATTAATGCAGTGCCAGCTGTTCATGTGTTATGAGCCGTGTTTGGATTATCACTTATTTCCCTTCTCTCTTTTAAAAACTATACTTGATAAGTAGAGCCTAACTAACAAAGCTGCTAAGTTGTTGACTGGTATATGGTAAAGTGTCAGCCTAAAGTCATCTTTTTGGAGAACCATGCATATTAAACCGTGCCCCTGTGTGTAGTGCGTAGGGCTGTGTGTCTACCTCGGGCCGCACTGACAAAGCCGTGTTGAAGGCCTCCACGGCTTTGTTAAACTCTCCGCTGAGGTTGTAAAGCACCCCGAGGCCCGTCTGCAAATCTGGGTCGATGCTGTCAGAGTTCTGCTGAACTGCTTCCAGGTAGAGCTCCTTGACCTCTGGTAGCAGGGAGCTGTGGACACACACACACACACACACACACACACACACACACAAAATTGAGATAAGGATTAGTGTGACTTAAGGCTGCTGAGTAAGCACGCATAAGACTGCAGGGCCATGATGTGCACTGGACTTTTATTCACAGCGTAACATGATGAGAGGCAGCCGGGGGAATGACGGGGGCGGTACAGAGAGGAAAACTGGAAACCAGGCCGGTCGTATGGAAAGAATGAATTTCTGTTTGTAAACAGTTTGTAAACATGTTCACTGATGTTTGTAAACATGAGTGAAGCTGTGGTCTAATATTTAGCAGTGCATGTATCTGAAAACTGTGACGCGAGCCTTAGCAGAGCGATAAAAGGAAGGGATAGAAAATGAGGGATGAGGTGAGCAGCAAAAATTTAAAGGGATGTTATTCTGTGGACTAGAGGGGAGACCGCAGTAATTGGGCTGTAACTGTGTCTCTTCACACTGACTAGACGATTAATGATTTGATAAAGCGCTACTTTACCTCGGGAGTGGAATTAGGTCTTTCAGATCAGATATACCAAACAACCTCAATTATACGGCTTAAAATATTGCAGACAGCACGCACTTAACAAAGTAATTTAACAAGGTCCACACATGTACTGTAACCTTCTGTCTACCATCTCACCAGTATTACTGCCACTACCAGTGTCACCAGTACTACATTTCACAAGTACATATACGAGAGTATTAACAAATCCTGGAATCGTAATTTTACCAGTTTTAACAACAGAAGTCAAATCCAATAAAACACATCTGAAACTTTCTGTTTCTGTCTATCCGAAGCCGCCAGGCTGCAACTCCAACTGTCCAGGAGCTCAGCGATAGTCTGGTCCAGATCTGGGAGGAGCTCCTCCAGGACGCCATCAGTTACCTCATCAGGAGCACGCCCCTTTGTTGTCAGCTACTCTTGGGGCCCACACTGAGCACCATCTCAGCATCCTTTCATTACCCAGTCCATGTCAGTATAGATATCTAGCATGATTGTTTGTTTCCTATTGACAGTTTCAGTGTCTTCCTTTTATTTTTTTGGCTGTGCATATATTTTATATTAGAGACACGAACAATCCCAATAATAAAGATAAGCCAGCCAAATGAATGAAGCCGTCTGCTATAATGTTGCAACGGAGTGTAAGCACACGTCAAACTGCCCGTCTGCCACAGCATCGTCAGCTGTGGCAACAATTGCTATTAGGAAAGAAGGAACCAGGAATCTGTGGAAGAAGGATTTTGTCATTCATATTTGCTAGAATTAAAAATATTCCCAGCACGTGATATTTATTGTTGAATTAAAAAAACACACAAATTCAGTATGTTATAATGTTATAAATAGAAGGAAAAACTGATGTGTGGCTAATGTTAACTGCTAGTACCAACACCCTCCTTTCCTTGCAGGTTAACGTCCACATGCCTGTCCTGAAGGTATGTGTTGTGGTTAGCATTGCAGGTGTGAATGCTTGTCTGTCTCTCTCTGTTAGCCCTTTAAATACACACCAACCTGTCGGGTTGTAGCTTATAATAGTTGAGATAACCCTTCTCCTTGTGACTCTGAATTAGAGAGGTGGAAGAAAACAGACAGATAGCAAAATAATAGCCAATTATTGTTAAATAATCAGTGTATTAGTGTACAAAACAAACACCCAGGACCAGATTTTAAAGTGAAATGTCTTAAACTTGGTTTAGTAATTGTTAACAGCTACAAGTTTAAGAAACCTGCACAGCTACATGTTGCTTTCCACTTCATCAACAACACCTTTGACTTGCTGCAGCCTCTGATATGTGTACAAAGCCAACATACGAGACATCCGTCCATCTTTAATAAAGTGGCAAACAAGAGACTGCAGGTTTTCTTATGCTGTAGTGATCCTTTTAATTAGGTCTAAAGAGTTTAAATACTCTACCTTTCATGTCTGCCCAGGTTGGGAGCATGAGACATCCTGCGCTGGGAGTTTGGAGATCCCGTTAGATGAGTCTTGCCTTTGACAAGATGCTTGTACTTGGGATTGTGTCTCAGCCAGCGGAGGAGGGCCTCACAGGCATCATGGCGCATACCAGTGTTGGTCAGGCTCACTGCCAGAGCCAAGAGGGCTATAAGGTTGTTTGGGTGGAGCTCCAAACACCTGGATGGAGACACGATTCGTTCACGGGAGAAGAGAAATCAAGTAAGGTGTTCACTTCAAAGAGAAATCTAGATTTGACAAGCATTAATTGGGACAGGCCAAAGCAGAGGAACATCAGGCCAAGGCTAATGATTTCTGGGCCAGAGCGAACGAGCAACACTTCTCCTGCTCCGTCTCTGCTGCAGAGAGTCGTGTTTGCATGCTACCCACAGCTGATGATTTGAATTAGCTTTGCACTTAGGCAAAACGGCATGGGTGGTTGTTCCAGAGACGGAAAGTATGTTTGTAGTAATTGCTGAAGTTATATCACCGGTTATATCACGTGGACGCTTGCCACTGTGCTGGCACTTCATAATTGAAAAGGGAAGAAGAACAGAACAGTGTTGGATGAACGACTTGGATTAGTTGAAAGACTAAAGGGGAGGCCAAAACGAGATTTAGCTTTCAACAAGATAATTTTTTAGCCAGATTTGCTACAGTTGATGTGCTAGCTTCCTTAAAACCACCCTAATCTCGCACAAACCAAATTATTTCAGTCCCGCTGCAAATGACGTAAACCCTGGTTCAGGACACTGACGTTCACTGCATATAAAGTTAGGCCCATAAATACTCACACAGTGTTGCATTGTTTGCCTCCGTACATAGTGGATTTTAATTGAACAATTAAGGTGTGATCAAAGTGCAGACTTGACTTCAAGGCGTTTAACAAAAATACGAAACTGTTTAGGAATTATAGACATCTTTATACTTAGTCCCCCATTTTTATAGGCTTAAAAATAATTAGACCGTCAGACACAATTTTCAGATTTTGACGGCCTGTACCTCGACAACTGTTCATGGACATCACCAAATGCTGTGTTTCCGCCCTTGAGATGATCTGCCAGGCCTTCAGCCTCCTACTGTTGTTACTTTTTGGGATCTCTCTGTATCCAGTTTTCTCTTCAGTAACTAAAGAGCACGATCTGTTGGTTGAAAGCCGGTGACTGAGTCGGCCATGTTTGCCTTGCTATGTGCAGTATGCTTCTTATTATTGGTATGCACTGTGAAATCCTTTCTGATCAGTTTAGCATCATTTAGCAGAGGGTATAGCCTTGTACACTTCACAGTGCATCCTGTTACCTCTATCAGCAGTCACACCATCAATAAACAGTTGTGACCCACACATGCCCGTGCCATAGCACAGCCTCCACTGTGTTTGACGGACGATGTGGTTTGCTTCATTTCTCTGGTTTGGCGTGCTTTTCTCTTTGCATCATTTGCATCAACAATTCTGCTCTACTTTAGCTGTGCTCTTCCAGGCCCTCTGTGATTTTCTTAGAGTAACGCATGAACTGGCCTTTCTATGTTTATTTTGTTTTCCAGCCTAATGATGAACTTTACATATAACGTCTCATCTTTTTGGCAGTTTCCAGCAAACAGCTACTAAACAGAAGGTAAACAATTGGAATCAGATCTTTCATCTGCTTAATTTGTCATCGAATAACAAGGGAACGGGTCTCACCTCGTCAAAAACCCACCTTTCAGTCACCTGTCTGAAAATGGACTTTGCATAAAAAAACAGTTAATGTGATACGGTTTTCGAGTCATAGCTTAAAGTCTGCCCTTCGATCACATCTTAATTGCTTTATTTCAAATAGCAGTACTGTAGGTGTAGCCTTTGTATCAAAGAAGACATTTTCTGAATTAAAGCATAAACATGGCAAAAAAAAGTTAAGCATATGACATTATTCAACAAACAGATAAAAAAGAGAATACAGCAGTGTTGTGAATCTGAAACGATGCCACTGTAACCACAAGCTAAAAACATTTAATCTCACTTCATACAAAAAGAGCCTTCGTAGATGGAGCCATTACATAACACAGACATTCAAACCACAGAAGGAGCGTGTAGGACTCTGCTGGACCGCAGGAATCTCAGGCCAACTAAGATATTCTGCATGACAGCGGACACCGTTTGTAATCCACGTCTAACAGCGATCACATTTTCCTAGTCTTGTTTCTTTCTTCTGAAAAATGGACCATATCTGAAGGAAGAACACTTTCTGCTGAATCTCTTGTGTTTTCTGTTGTCAGCACTCACATTCCCAGAAAGGTGTCATTTCCGGCTTCACCAGTGTGAGTGAAAGTGGGCCACCTCCCATTGAGGCTTCTGCTCATAAACGTGCTCTGTGCTATCACCATCCATGTGGGGTGTCTCTGTTTTAAGAATAAAACTCCCAGAGCCTGCTCTTCCCATCTCCATCTAAGGATAACTGAACAAAACTGTGATGGTGTTCTTCTTATAATACTGTTTTAACATCGGCATATAGTTATGACTTGGTTTTGTTCTCGCTGAACCTACTGCTGTTAAACAGTTCAGTGAAACCTCGCAGGCAAATTTCACGTGCTGGGCTTCATCTTTTCACATGATATTTCCACAGTGTCCCACTTGTGCAAACATATGGTGTTCCCAAGCAGCAACAGCTGACTGACTCCAATGTCTGCGAGCGTTTTTTGATTTTAAATGGGAACTGAATGCAGTTGTTTGTCATTACCTCTGGAGGGAGACAATCGCTGCCTGCTCGTTCTCATTTTCAGCCTGGGTGGTCCCCAGGACTTGCCAGGCCTGCATCAAAACAATACAAACAGGTAAAGAACAAAGAGTAAAAAACACACGGTGGAAACAGTGTACAGCCTATGCTGCCACGGCTGTTGTCTGGCTACTGTGAGTTAAGACATCCATAGCTCCAGCTAATTTTAAGGAAGTACAACTGGGGTATATGCAGTGATGATTAAGACTGACAGTGTTTTATTTGGACTATTGTCCTCAGACACCATCAGATATTATGTAGTAAAACTGAAAAAGAGCATACTTTAATAATAAATATAGTTTCTTTTGTGTGTAACCGCGATGGGACCTATCCAGGTATGCATTTACTGCATTGTTTGGCATCGTGTTTGGCATCGCTGTCATGCTGAAACATGAAGCCCCTGCCAATCAGATGCTTTATAGATGATATACAGTGGATCAAAATGTGAAGGTAACTGCATCCACGATTGTGCCTCCACCGTGTTTAAAAGTTGGCTGTAGACACTCAGGGCTGCTCCTCCATACATACTGTCAACACTTTGAACCAAATATTTCAAATTTGGATTCATCTCTCCAGAAGTCCTCTTGCCCCTCATTTTCTGCCCATTTCCTGTGTAACTTGGCACACCCCAATCTCCCCCATTCTCTCGAGGCTGTGCTGGTAGACACAGAGAACCTCCTTGCAATGGTACGTACTGATGAGCCTTCCTGGAGGAGTTACTACCAACCTCTGTAGGGTCCAGGTATTACCTCCTGCTACCAGTAGTAACACTGACCCTAGCCAAATGCAAAACTAGTGAAAACAAGAAGGAAAAAAAGCATTCCTGTTTTGGGGGTTGTCTCATCGTTGCCCAAAGCAGCTGATTATCATCCCTTTCTGCTGCTCAGCTGAGCAGATCATTATCCCACAGCTTTAAATGACTTGCTGTCCTCTTTAATTTGAATATGTTTATGTGTTAGAGGGACGACACTGACTTGAATTAGGGCCTTCATCAACACAAGAGGCCAGACAATGATATAACGAACCTGAAATCCAATCCAGATTATGAGATTAGTCCCACTGTATGATGTGTGTGTAAGGGCACATTTAATAACCTGTTCTAATCTCTCTACATGCTTTTTTTGTTCAGCTCTTTGAAACCAGGCGCCAAATGATTTCTGAATGATTCAGAGGTCTTCGCAGTCGGCCAATAAGCCGCTACGTGCCCTACAAGGAAATTTGGAATCGTATTAGTTCCATATACCGTGGGATAATCCTCTCCTCGGAATAACTGGCACATTTCTGTATATTCCAGGGGATTCCGAAGTACTTTGAATGAAGGCTTTGCTCTTTCAGCTCGCAAAGAGGTCACTCCATTGAAATGGGAGGAATACAAAAAGGAGAATGAGCTATTGTTCATCTCACTGGGCAAATGGAAATTCTCATCAAGTGCAAGTTGAGTATTTTTTTGCTACAGTAAACAACTATTTTTAAAAGGGAAAAAATCCCCTGACCTCTACAGGCAATCAGCATTGAGCCTGTGGGTGCTGCCTACCAAATCAGCTGGTCAGTGAGGCATTCTTCCTCTGTAGCAGGGGAGGATTTAGCCATAGCTTTGCAATGAAAGCCTCAGTGATCCAGTGCAGTTAGCCGGCGTAAGGCTGCAGTTTTATCGGCCATTTGTACTCTAAAAGTGTACAAATGTCTGTAAATATGAATAGCTCTGCTACTGACTTGACTGGGTAAACAGTGTGTGTTGACAGCTCTGTGCATGTGTATATTAGCAGAATTCACCTCTGAATCGTGAGGGTCCTGTAGGACAGCTGCTTCAAGCAAAAGCACAGCGTTTGGCAAGTCTCCCTCTCGGGATTTCTTCAGTCCCTCTTCGAATGCATTAGGCAAGTCCTTATAAGGATTATCTGTGTGGAAGTAGTAACCCTATCAGCAAGAAGAAAAGATAAAAACAAGCACAGTGGCAACGTCAGTTTCACTCTTCTATTATTCCAATGCAAACCAAGTGTCCTGTGCAGTTGTATATTTAAGCAAAACTGCAGGAGCAGGAATTGATCTTTTCTCCTTCACATCAAACCTGGACTGAGCTCCCCAGGGTTTGTCTGCTCTCTTTAAATGTTAAACTTTGCATTTTCAAACTGTGATTACCCTGGTGTGTTGCGTGCTTTTGAGCACGATGACTTTGAAACAGATTTTTCCTTAAGAACGAGCGCTACGCTGGGATCAATACAGAAAGCCCACAAGTCTGATCTCACATGATTTCCTGGCATAAGAAGGTCAGCTGGTGGGTGATGCTCAGACATGTGCTCATGTCCTCTGAAACTCGGGAAAACGTCATTGTGATGCGGTAAACATGCAGGTCAGTGTGCAGGCGTTGTTACATTGCATCACAACACATTAACAAGTAGTGTTGATCAGTCTGGCGTGAACCAGAAAGATAAATACAACTAAATTATTACTTTTTTTTTGTATGTTTCTTCTTCAGAATGGCATATTTTTAGACTCTTAGACTTTAATTATCTGTGCTGCTTTCAATAAAATAAGCAGCTTTAGCTTTACTCGCTGTTTCACTCTTGGGTTTTCATATTGTCACTCTTCTCATACACAATAGGGAATCGGTCAAACAGACCTAGAGACCACCTCATCCCTTTGTGGCACAGCATTCACCCGGCAGCTGACTCTAGGTGAAAAAAAATCCATATTCCCCAACAACCTGGCTAATGGGTGTTGGCTATGTTGCTGGAAACTTCTATTTAAATTCTTTGGTCACTAGCAGGTTGCCACGGTCGCCTGGAGCTTACATGGAAGAAGCCACTTGTCTGCATAGACTCCCTAATTGGCCTCCTAGCTAGTGAAACTTGAAAGTTTGACAGGTTACACGTCACAGGTTCACAATCACTTAGCCAGTAGTTAGCCAGTGCTTGCAGACAATTAGGTATCTTCCACACAAACTGGAGGTGACCACTGTTATCAGCTAATGCTAAGCGACAGTATAGTAACTGGTAGTGATGGCATCACTGGCTGGTCTTTAAGAATCAGTTTCACAGCGACGGCAAGCGACCTCCAGTAACTACTGGCAACCACTAGAGGAATACTCATCTTTGCATGGATACCAGTGCTTACCAGGTATGTGTGACTGAGACCAAAGGCTTCACATTCAACACGGAGTTGTTTAACACTAGTTTACACGTCATTCCTCATTTTTAAAACCCATTCACATATATAAAAGTTCTGGATCCACAAAGCTCGGTGCATTACAGTAACCTTAAAGTCTCTGATAGTTGACCGTTAACCTCAGGGTGACAAGCCTCCATTAATCACGCCTGTTCCTAAAATCCCTCCGTTGCTCACTCATTCATCACTTTGAGACTTCAAGGCCACTTACTAATCATAAATCTTCCCTCATGCGCATTGTGAGAATATTAGCAAGGTTCATTTTATGGCTGCATAAATTCTGACAGTCACACATGGATAAATACAGAATTGGACACTAAATCAACGTGGAAGACAATAAATAGCTCAGATATTTTAAATGTTGATCCACAAAGGCTGATAAAACTATATTTGGTTTCAGGTTTTTATAGATGTCAGATGTAAACATACTGCACACTTTCACTCTAGGTGCACACGCAGTTCTGCATATTCCTGCATCACTGTCATCAGGACGAATCTGCGTGCGCGCTGAGAGTAACATTTTAATGACAGTGACCTTCTCGTACGGAGACACAGTGGAGGGAATCTGTGCCTGCTCGTTTTCCGTCAGCCAGTTTCGCCGAGCCAGCTCTTCCCACTCTGCCTGCATCTTATCCCAGAACTCGGTATCTGACTGCACACATCAGAGAGAGAGAGAGAGGACACAGTTCAAGAAAACAGGAAGGAAGGAGTGGAAGGTGACAGGGGGGAAATGAGTGAATAGTTAGCTCTTGCAATTTGCAATCACCCTACTGTTGGAAATGTCACGTCTGCCTATTTCCTTGCTGTAATGTACAGACCTCACACTCCTGATGACTCATCACATCTGCATGTCAAGGCAGAGTTTAGAGGAAAAATGCTTTATGCTGGAAATGCAGCTGCAGGAAATGGATGAAGACCCGACCAGAATGAAACACGCGGCTGGCACCTTCTTTCAACAGAATCGGTTAATTCTTCAAAACAGCAGCTAAACCTGAAGTACTGTTTCTGCCGTTCAATAATTTGCATATTTTAAGCTTGGTCTGTTCTTTCTAAGACGATCAGAAACGCACAAAATGTTCACCTTTCCTTGACAGAGTTGGACTTAAGGAACTCTATCAGGATGATATTTGCACCCTTCAATCAGCAGACCGAAGGCTGTCAGTGTAATGTGGGAGTTTGCTTCCTGGAGCATTTTCTAACATTTCTTCTGACAGGAAATCAAAGCCTGTACTGGGAACCTTTTAAATACATGTTTGTTTGCCATCAATTAGTTTAATCAACCAGAGTTTGTGTTGTTTTGCAATAACCCTTGAATACGACAGCTTACTGTAATGTAATTAACGGCAAGACTACTAATGATAAGGAAACTGTTGAATTGTGTTTATTTATTATGGTAGCAGACCTATAAACACTTCAAAGAGGCTTTAAGAAAACCGATTGTAACACGTGTCACCTGGCAGTTTGTTGCTCTCTGCCAGGTGATTGGCTGAAGAGCTATGAAAAGGTAGTGGGTGTGTGGGGTGAGGTCAGCACTCTTCTGTGGAAAAAACAGAAGAGTGATTAATTCACTCGGGTGCGAGTGGGCATACTGTCGGTAAGAGACTTTTGCCATTTTGTTTGGATCATTTGTTATTGTAGGTGCCCATTTTTAATGCGTGTCGCTGGACTTTTGTAGTGTGACCACGAGTTTTAATAGAAGAATTGATCAAGCCCTCGATCGACTGCGCGCAGGGAGACGGATCAATATTGTAGGTATATTGAGTGTGTGTTTTAGCTTTGACTTTGAATGGTTTCACAAAATTGATATTTTATTGGGTAATATTTTATTCCATAATGTTGTTTGTGTTGTTCAGCTGTGCTGTCTCTGCTGTCCTTTTTTGTTCGTTCTTTTGATTGATTTGGAATTTTGTTTTGGTTAGTTCGTCCAGCCGTGAAGGCGGGTATTGATTGTGAGTGAGTTGTGTAAGGGCGGACTAACCTCCTTCTTTGTTTTTTGTTTATTTGATTGTGCCACTTCCCTTTATATTCCAGATTACAGGTCATGCATAGCACTGCTTCCCAGCTGTACTGAGACCCGAATTGTTTGCAGTGCGTGTCACAGGTAAATTGACTGCAGTGTCGCTAAACGGGGTGTAACGGTTTGCAGTGTTGTGTTATTTCTCACCCCATTTGTGTGGTAAGTCTCATGTGCAGCTGGGATATCAGCAGGATGTTGTAAGTCCTGTCTGGAAATAACTGGGAATTTGTGTGTTTAATTAATGTAATAAATAAATTATCAATTTCTTTCATTGCCCTGTTTACTCTTCCCTTGTCCTCGGTTACACTATTAAAATTGCTTGCAACAAAATTACAGCAATCTCATTGTTTAATTGTAAACTAAAACAATTAAACAATGAGATGTGAAAAGTGTCTCTTTAGGTTTCTTGAAGACGTTTCATCCGAGAAGCTTCTTCAGTTCTAAGAGCAGCGATTGGTGGAGAGTCCCAGATTTAAGCCCTGTGGGAGAGTCCCCCAAAGAGGGACATGATCACACGAGCCAGGGTGTGAAAAACGGGTGTGGGTCACAATCAGCCAAGGTTTCAGGCGAACCCATAGTGAAGCCTACCCCCACCCTATCATGTGACTTACTGAGGTCAAAGGACCCAGGATGTGAGTGGTCATTAAGGCGTCTGGGAAAGGAGCTGGATTATAGATGGCAGACAGCTGGTGTCGTAAGCCCCGCCCTCTGTTCAAAGATGGCCGTTCACAGTGGACATAGGCTGTATCCCAATTCAGAGTCTGCAGCCATAAAGGCCGCATTTCAAGGCCGATTATGTCACAGCGGCGCGCCGAAGGCTGTCCCAATTCAAAGGCTGCTCGAAATGCGGCCCTCAAATGCGTCCTTCATTTCCCTGAATTTTAAGGCTGTGGCGGTGTAGACTTCGTGGCCCAACATATCCCAGAATGCATAGCGCGGCGGTGGGTGTGGATAATTTTGCCGAAAAAAAAGGGCGGATGAGGGGCGCCCGAAGAGTAAACTTTAAGTAAATACTGAATATTATGTCACTTATTTATGTGCAAATGTTTAATAACGAAGAACATTAAACATTCCTGTTGGCCACATGTCGGCAAAGTCATGTAACATCAGTGACATTTGTACTAACTTGGTTTTAAAGCCTTTACTTTAAAATACACGCCGTTCAATAGCTGAGCTTAATCAGAGAATGATCAAAGCTCATGTAGAAACAAACAAATGAACAAAAGATTGTCTCCTTCATTTCTGTCAAACACAGCTGTATGACACGTTTCCAGTTGTTAGTATCATGGTTGCTAGGCAACCTGGGCAGCACAACGGAGGCTAGACCGTCCCATTTCACAAGCCTCGCACTTCCGGCCTTAGCGGTCTTTGAGTACGTGGCCCTTGAGGACCGTTGAGGCTGCGTACTTTAAGGCTGCAGGCCCTGAATTGGGATACAGCCATAGATGCCTCTTTCAAACCATCTGTCGTCTCTGTCCAACATGTGAACAGTGGCATCCTCAAAGGAGTGACCTTTGACCTTTAGATGCAGATGAACAGCCGAGTCTTGTCCTGTGGAGGTGGCTCTTCTATGTTGTGCCATGCGTTTATGAAGTGGCTGTTTGGTCTCTCCAATGTAGAGGTCTGGGCATTCCTCACTACACTACATTGTTAAGTTTGTGTGTGGGAGTTTTGTCCGAGTAGCTTCTCAGAGATGAAATGTCTTCAGGAAACTTAAAGAAGTGCAGACGCTTGTCTTTCCAAGCTCCTTAAACTACGATGGCCTGGATGACTGAGAACCTTCACAGACACATGCAGCTTCAAACAAACTATAAATGCAATTTAAGATAAACTAATAATCCATCCACCTATTCTCTTCTGCTTATCCTCATCAGGGTTGCGGGGGGGTGGAGCCTATCCCAGCTGTACCCAGTACAGGTCGCCAGTCTGTCGCAGGTCTAACGCAGCTGTGACCCAGCCCCAGATAAGCAAAAGAACAAAAATGGATGGATATCAGGCTAAAGCTGTATCGGGCTCGCAGGCATCTCAGAAGACCAGAAGAGACCAAAACAACGTCCACATCAAACGACAGTTCTCACAGTGTATTTAAAAGCCCATGAACACTGAAGGAAGTTTTCACTTCTACTTTGCCTTGAGAGCATGTGATCGATTAGCTCCAAGTAATGTTTGCGTGTTGTAAGTTGCACAGCCAATCAGGTTAGGCAGGCCTGGAAGCAGATGAGCTGTTAGGAAGGGATGTCATCAGAAGGAACGGCGTAAAGAGGCTAAAGAGAAACCTACAGGACAGGAGGCGTGGCATGGGACGAGTACATACAAGTCCTGGTAAACTGTCTTTTATTACATTTGAAGACAAAACTTGAAGTTTTGGATGCACAGTTGTGTGGTGTGCAGCCATACGGCTTACAAGTTCCTGTCCTATTTATGTACACAGTAAACATGATGGGGCAGTTTTTGGTGTGCGGTCCCATTTCTCTTCACGTACATGCCTGTCGCTACAGATTTACTTAATGACATGACTGCCTTTCATGCAAAACGCGAATACTCTGCATGGCCACTTTTTTCTTTCCAGCTGGTTTATTTCATGATTTGTGACCGCCTTCCTGTCAGAAGCAGAGCAAAGAACAGGAAGCCAAACAGAGCAGAGCAGCTTCCTCTGACTTATTCAGTCCTTTATAGTCATCATGACAACATGACAGCGTCGCACACAGTACATGCGTGTGTGAGACACTGTAGAAGCAAGCAGGGTCAGAGAGACCTGCTATAAGGACACATGTGTTTGTGTCAAAGGTCTCAGATCTCCACATGAAATGATCCTTTTGACTGACATCAAGGCCACGGTGCGGCCGCTCGTGGTGAAAGATGGCAGGTAATTGCAGACTGCTGACTTGCACACAAATTGCATCGAGGGGAGCCTTCGCTGTCGGCTCCATCAGGAAGCATGGCATCAGAGAGTCGGTGTTTGAAGCAGAAATTTGGAGGTCGAGTAGCTGTTTACATTTAGAAACATGTGAGTTTGTGTCATAGCCCTGTGTCGCTGCACCACATTATTTTGTTTAGCATTTTTGTTTTTTCTGGTGTGTGTGGTGCAACAGAAGAGTATCATCTGGGCTGAAACCACCAAATCCCTACAACACCAAGTACCTTTTTTCTCTGGTCCCTCTTAAATACTGCAGTACACCCTCTATTAACCCTCTCAGGCTCAAATTAAACTTTTTGTTGCTAATGCACAACCAAGTCCTGCAGTGGTACTTCTGAGTACAAAAAACTCATAAAATATGTATGTGGGGTAATCAGGTTGTTAGTTTTTAACTGTTGCAAATCGGCGACGCCCGCCTCGAGAGGGTTAAACAGCTGAGCTAATAAATCTCTCTGTGTTAGGATGCCTGTGTTTTCTTCCGTCCTGGTCGTGATCTACTCTCGTCCGTCCGGCCGTCCGGCCGTGTTTATTTTGGATTCTCAGTTTTGGTACTTTTTGAGTTTAGCATTAAAGCTGTTTTGAAGTACGCTCTTGCCTCTGAGCGTCTGCACTTTGGGTCCTCCTTACCACCACTCCTGCCTGCACACAGCCCTGACTTGACAGTCTGGGCCCAAATCTGAACTCCACATGTAAATAATAAGGTTTTTCTCATCTCTCC